TCTATTTTTAATTTTTAACACTCCTGTATTGTATACTTGAAAGTTACTGAGAGACAAAGAAATGTTCTCACCACAAAAACGAAATGGTGATTATGTGATGTGATGGAAGTGTTAGCTAACGCTATGGAAGTGATCATACACTATAAGTGTATCAAGTCACACCCTAAAACTGCACAATATTGTATGTCAATTATAGCTCAATAAAAAGAAGAAAGTGAGATTTTGGTCTCACATCTGTCTGGATGAAACGTAGCTACAAATAAGATATCAGCTTGGAACGGTAGTTTTTTTCAGCCTGGTTTTAACAGGAAGCGGAGTTTTGACAAGAACTGCTAATTAAGTCTGTGAGGAGGATGCCATGCTGATTAATCCAGCTGTACCTGCTGGTGGAAGACCCGCCGAATTAATGAAGAACTGTCATGTTCTTCCAGCACTGTGGGCCGCAGTTACCGGCTCAGCAATTTTGGGCTTGTTTCAGGGAATCTGCCGGAATAGCCACAGTGGCACTTCTCGCGGGCCTCTTGGTAGGAAAAACATTCTTGGCCAGTCCTTGTCCAATTACTTGCTGGCTCCTCTGTGCCAGTGTTGTGCAGGGGCCCTGGGTGACTCGAAGTGCCCCCCTGCCCCCACCACCACCACTTGAAGAACTAAACAATCCCACTGGGGACACAAAATAAATACCGAAGAATAAAGTCCTGAACAGGACAAAAGTAATTAATTTTAATTAATGACTTCATTGAGTGGTAAAGACAGCGTGCCAGGGAATTCACAGGAGGCCGGTCAACTACGGCTGCAAGCAGCAGCTACAGCTTTGATGTCAGACAAATGGAAGTTGAAAGCAACCCCCCTTCCTCCTCCACAGGAGGCATAGCTTTCCTGCCCATGTGGCTTACCCATGTGACCTGCTTTAGCCGATGGGACATTAGCAAAGGTGATGTGAATGAAGGCTGCAAATATGCTTGTGCAGTTGGGTTTTTGAGCCTTTTGTCAAGAGATTGTTGGGAAAGATAAACTTCCTCTACCCGCTTGTGTTCAGTAAATGGGGGCCTGTGAATTAAACTAATGGGATCCAGAGTAACAGGAGAAAGGCATACCATCGTTCTATACTAATAATAGAGGAATATGCAAGTTGTCCTGGACACCGCCACAGTAATAGTAACGACCGAACAGCAGGCTGCATGGGGTGACAAGACTGGCAGGGAGTTTGTGAGGGACAGCCAAACGACTGAACAGCAGGCTACATGGGGTGACCAGGCTGGCAGGGGGTTAGTGAGGGACGATCAAATGACTGAACAGCGGGCTGTGTGGGGCAACTAGGTCGGCTGGGGGGGGGGGGCAGTTGGGGGTGACCAGGCAGGCAGGGGGGCAGATGGGGGTGACCAGGCCAGTAGGGGGGCCAGTAGAGGGTGACCATGCTGGTGGGGGCACAGTTGGGGGTGACCAGGCTGGCGGGGGGGGGGGGCAGTTAGGGGCGATCAGGCTGGCAGGCAGGTGAGCAGTTAGGAGCCAGGAGTCCCAGATTGTGAGAGGGATGTCCAACTGCTGGTTTAGAACCGATCCCCGGCCTAAACCAGCAGTTGGACATCCCCTGAGGGGTCCCAGATTGGAGAGGGTGCAGGCTGGGCTGAGGGGACCCACCGTCCATGCATGAATTTCATGCACTGGGCCTCTAGTTTTAATTAGTATTTTATATGTACAGGGTTTATAGAAAAAGAGAAAGTCAAAGTAGTAATTAGACTCAGGGGTTTACCTACCATTTTTATGAAGGTCAGGGGGTTTGGGATTTGAAGAATGATGAACTGTGGGACAGCAACTAAGAACTACATGGGAAAATTAATGGAAGAATAGGGTTAATTTGTAAAGTAGGTTTATGCACATCATCTTGGTGCCTACTCTCCATCCCTAGTGATAAGAGTAGCTCTCCTCTTCCTGTAGGGGAGAGGAGGGGACACCTTCACAAAGGGAAATTCATGCCCTGCTTTTAGGCAGAAAAGGTGGAGGGCAGAGAACTCTTCCTGCATCTGCTGATTCTCAATAACCCTTATGCCAAAATGGCGTATTCTGGGGTTGCATATTCTGATCCCATTCAATATAAACATGCTCCAGTTGCCTGCTGACCCCAGAAGAATAAAAGGCATGTTCAGCTTGCCTGGACCCACCCCACAGCCTGGACCTGAGCCCCACTGGGCCCAGCCTAGATCAGCTGAACCACAGCCAACCCAGAGGTGCCTGAACAAGAAATAAATGCTTATGGCAGTGTGCCACTGAAACTTAATGATTGCTTGTTCCTTGGTGTGCTTGTAAGAATAGTTTGTTTATCTGTAAAATGAAAAAAAAAGTATACCTGACTTGCAGTGGTATTGTGAAAACTAAGTGAAATATAAATGTAATGTCTCAGATTTCAACATCCTGAGATGCAACCGAGGTCACGTTCATATTGGCCCCTGATTCAAATGGTTCCTCGGCTCATGAGGAAACCCCGTCTGAAAGACGGTCTTGAAATAGTCTTGATGTTCCTCAGTGTTGGGGTGTACCCCTACCTCTGCCAGCCCCAGGTCCGCACAACTCTGCCAGGGTGCCACTCTCAGGTAGGGTTCCGTGTCTACCCACAGGCTCAAGCTGGTCATTTGTGGGCCTGCAGGGAAACTCAGCACAAACAGCAGAGAACTTGAGCTTCATGAGGCAGGACAGCTAAACTTGTTGACTTAACACATATCTACCTTGCACTGAGCAGTGCATTTCAGGGATTCATGCTACAGGGAGCTGAGGAATAAGGGTACCTAAAAGTGGCAATTAATTAAAAACAGCATTAGAGCCTGGCTGGCATGGCTCAGTAGTTGAGAGTTGACCTATGAACCAGGAGGTCACAGTTCTATTTCCGGTCAGGGCACATGCCTGGTTGTGGGATCAATCCCCAGTGGGGGCCATACAGGAGGCAGCCAATCGATGATTCTCTCTCATCATTGATGTTTCTCTCTCTCTCTCTTTCTCTCTCTCTCTCTCTCTCTCCCTCTCCCTTCTTCTCTGAAATCAATTTTAAAAATACACATATCCTGTATAATAAAAGGCTAATATGCAAATCGACCAAATGGCGAAATGACCGGTCACTATGACACCTACTGACTACCACGGGGCAGATGCTCAATGCAGGAACTGCCCCCTGGTGGTCAGTGTGCTTCCATAGGGTGTGCTGCTAAGCCAGAAACCTGGCTCATAGCTGGCGAGCGCAATGGTGGTGGCGGGAGCCTCTCCCACCTCCTCAGCAGTGCTAAGGATGTCTGACTAAGCCAGGGGTGGGCAAACTTTTTGACTCGAGGGCCACAATGGGTTCTTAAACTGGACCAGAGGGCCAGAACAAAAGCATGGATGGAGTGTTTGTGTGAACTAATATAAATTCAAAGTAAACATCATTACATAAAAGGGTATGGTCTTTTTTTTTTTTTAGTTTTATTCATTTCAAACGGGCCGGATCCGGCCCGCGGGCCGTAGTTTGTCCACGGCTGGACTAAGCCATCAGTTGGATATCCCCCGAGGGCTCCCGGACTGCGAGAGGGTGCAGGCCAGGCTGAGGGACCCTCCCCCCAACCCCCTCTGCCCGAGTGCATGATTTTGTGTACTGGGCCTCTAGTATGGAAATAAGGCAGGCAGAACTGGACAGAGGGAGAACTTGCACTACAATGAGGCTGCCACCAGGGGGAATTCTAGAGCTGGGATGGCCCTCCAGGGCTATTCCAAAGTGAGGAAAGGGGCCTTTGTTTTTGTATTTATATTTGGATCTTTCTCAAGATGAAGAGGGGAGATGATTTTGCCCCCTAGGGAGCATTTGGCAATGTTTGGAGATATTTTTTGGCTGCCACAACTGGGGGGTGGGGGAGAGGTGGTATGCACTACTGACATCTAGTGGGTAGAGACCAGGACTGCTGCTGCTAAATATCCTACAAAAATGCCCAAGACAACCCCCCCGCAAGGGGCCATCCAGTCCCAAACTCAATAGTGTGGAGACTTGAGAAAGCCTGCCCTAATCAACAAGCCATTGGCCACGAGCTGCTCTTGCAAGGATGGAACCTTGTGCAGGTCCCTGCAGCTGATGGCAATTCCCATTGAGGGCTGGTGCTGGGAGCTGCCAGCAGCCTATGTTCCCAGCAACTCAGGGTCGGGTGTGTTCGCCATGAAGAGAGGACCTAGGCAGAGCAGAACCCTTGCCTGGTCCCTCAGACTTGTCTTTCTCACAAGAATAATACCAACCACATTCAGGGTACTGACCTGGAAATTTTACATGCATTATCTCATTTAAGCCTCATGAAAAGCCAAGAGGTGACTTTTATTACCCCTATTTTATATGACAACTAGAGGCCCGGTGCACAAATTCATGCACAGGTGGGGTCCGGCCAGCCTGCCCTAATGGGGGCCGATTGGGGGCAGGGCTGGCCAGGGGGAAGGGCTGCGGTCGGTTGGCCGGCCAGCCCTGCCCCCTGATCAAACTCCCGGTTGAAGAGACAATTTGTATATTAGCCTTTTATTATATAGGATAATCTGAAACTCAAAGGGTTAATCACTCTTGTAAGCTTACCGAGCTAGGAAGTTACCGAAACAGGATCTGAACCCAGGGCTCCAAAGTCTGGCTCATTCGAAAGCAGGAAGGAAAAGCTCTGCTATCAGACAAGAGCACACAGAGGAGAAAGAGGGTAGGCTGCAAACTTAACCCAGAGGTGGTATGAACCCAGCCTCAGAGCAACCGGAAACCTTGAAACAATGTCTGATCCTGTGCAAACATCATGGAGTCAGATCCTGGGCTTGGATTCCTGGAGAGCAGCCGCCTGCCACCTCCCGCCAGCGTTCAAGGGTTATCAGAAGGATCCCTTCTGAAGGAGGACTTTCTTTTTTTTTTTGTCTCTTGAGGGGAATGCATAAACCTGAGGACTTTGTACAACGACAACAGTAACTATGAAAAAGGAGAGAAAAAACACTTCCTGGAAGTTAATGTATAAAAATAATTTTTATTTACTACTGTAAATAAAGTAGTGCAAAGAGTAGTTTGGACCCACAATATTGCATTACTGATTTATTTACCACCTTAGCAGCATACAGTGCACAGTCTGCCTTTCCTCTCCCTCTGTCTCTCTCTCTCTCTCTCTCTCTCTCTCTCTCTCTCTCTCTCTCTCTCTCTCTCTCTCTCACTCACACACACACACACACACACACACACACCCCTACATGGACTCAGGCAGGCATAAGGGGTGGGGATGACTGTGAATTAAAGGCATTTTTCCTGCACATCCCACTGCTGCCAGTCTATTCTAATGGGTAATTCATGGAGAAGGCTACACTTAAATACTAAGCATTTTCTAAATGTTATTTTATGGATTGCAATTGAAAGGTAACCGATGCCCAACAATGTCATTGAATGATTCGGAAGCACTACAACCCTAGAAAAATTCAAGGAGCAAAATGTAAACCAATTTACAAAGCCATCGCCTTCCCTGCACTTCCAGCCACAACCGATTTATGTCAAAGCGCCTCAGAACTACTGGGTGTTAGAAGCCAAATTGCAATCTCTTGGTTGGACTCCGAGGAGCAGGGCTGTGGCAAACACATGTACCAGAATATTACCTACTTGTAGAAAAGTCACAATTTTCTGTTATTGAATAAAAGGGGATGAACAAGGGGCTAAGATTCGTAAATGACGTCCCAGGATATAAGGATTGCGATATGTGGCTGGGCAAACTGTGACTACCAATACACAGAGTCACTGGGAATGGACGTCTGCGATGACCCAGCTAACCTCCAACACACTCCTTAGATCAGGATGGTTCTTGTATTTGTTTGAATGCTCTGGGCACTCCTTTGTCATTTGATTAAAAAAAAAAAAAAAAAAAGACACCAAGTGCAAAATTCACATCCAGTTGACAAGACTTTCAAGGTGTTTATCAGTACAATGCCCTGGCCCCAGCTTTACAATACCACCCATCCAAAGGACTCTCTCTCATCGAGAGAGACCTGGAGTGCACAGTTCACCCACGTGGCTCTGGGTTATTAGTGACTGTGGGCTGGTCCTGAGCAGAGACATCTGCAGCTGGAGTCACAGCTGGACTTGCAGTGGGAGCGGTGTCGTCTGGGGAGGCCCTGGCTGGTGTCACGTTGAAACTGTTGGCTGCAGAGACACACAAACAGATGGTGAGTATTCACAACAGTACATGCAGGGCCCACAACCATACCCAGAGCCCAGCAAGCCAGGAGAGATGCTTTTAATTCAGTGGCCCTGAAACTGACTAGGTAAGCAATTTTGGACCCATTTTCTACGTTCTTTAGACTTTGGTGTCGCCTTCTCTAAAATGGCAGGTTGAAATAGATATATGAAGATTTCTAATGGTCCTGACATCCTGGGACGCTGCACTTATGCTGTGACTTCCAGCTTAATATTTTAATCAAACAAAACAAAACAAAACAACTCTCTGGTTGATGTTTCTTGTGGCCACCTCTTCTCCTCCCTTCATGGCATTGATGCAATGCAAGCTATAAATTATACCAATCAATTAGGAAGAACTGTTGGTTTTATTTATGTTCTTACTAGAGGCCTGGGAGCAGGCCTAAGCCATCTGTCAGACATCCTTTGCACTGCTGCGGAGGCAGGAGAGGCTCCTGCCACCGCCGCTGCACTCACCAGCCGTGAGCCTCGGTTCTGGCTGAGTGGTGCTCCTCCTGTGGGAGTGCACTGACCACCAGGGGGCAGCTTCTGTGCTGAGTGTCTGCCCCCTGGTGGTCAGTGCACATCATAGCGACCGGTCATTCCTCTGTTTGGTCAATTTGCATATTAGCCTTTTATTATATAGGATACCATTTGGATGTACCAAATTTGGTTTAAAATATTTTATTTAAATAAATGTATTTAAGTTTTGAAAAACATAATTACTAATTCTAATTATTTATCAATCTACCATTAGGTAGGCGGTTGGACCACCAACATGTTAGGGAGGCTTAGAAAGTTTTATATTTTATAAGTGACCTGGTGCATGGATTCGTGCATATTGGAAGGAAATTAATTAGGTGGTTGGCAGGGTGGAACTGGGCAAGACAGGCCAGACACACCCTGGAACCAACCTCCCGCAGTCCCTCCCTGGCAAGCTGCACCTGGGGTGGCACTGTGGCTCTAAGGGCATCTGCGGAGTAAGCGGAGTCCGTCCTGCAGGTGGGGTTCCTTGGCCTGGCCTGCAAGGATCAGGACAAAACTGGCTCTCCAACATCCCCTGAGGAGTCCGAGAGGCCACTCTGCAAAGTTGCTGTTGTACAGGGTGTGGAACACAAATGCAAGTGTGCAGTAAACCATATTCAGGGCCGACAGTGCCCCAGCAACAACATAACCCACGGCCAAAGGTGGAATCGCGTGGCCCCATGAGGAATCAGGCTCCCTCCTCTCTGGTTTTGGGGTGCATCACCCAAGAACTGCCGCTTCCAAGTCACTGCAGCTCGGCAGCTCCTGTGTTGAGCGTCTTCCCCCTGGTGGTCAGTGTGCATCACAGCTACCGGTCGGACAGACACTTAGCATATTAGCCTTTTATATATATAGATGTCAATGGTTTTCAAATGGGAGCAACTTTGCCTTCTAGGGGACAGCTAGCCATGTTAGATATTTTCGGTTGTCACAATGGAGGGTGGTGTACTACTGGCATGTAGTAGGTAGAGGCTAGTGGTGCTTAGAATAGTGCCTGGCAGGCGAAGGAACTCAACAAACGTCAGTTATTGCTATTAGAAACCTGGTTTACTATAGATGTGTGTTAGGATTTATTAATGTCAGGCTTGCAGGATTGACGACAGAGCTGGTGCATTTGTTTCTGAGATGCCTACAGTTTTCCTTCAGGCCTCAGTAGCCTAAGAAAACAGCAGAAAACTGTGGAGCCAGAAAGACCAGAAGTCAAATGGCTCTGATGTTTACCAGCAGAGTGATCTTGAGCAAGTTACTTAACCACTCTGAGCTGGTTTCTTATCTGTAAAATGAGGGTAGCGGTATGCAGGGATGCGTGACATACAGCTAACACAATGACCCTAGTTTGTGCAACAATTGCTACTGGTAGTTTGCTTTTAAGTAGTGATCTTAATTAAACTCAGGAATCCTAAAGTCTCTTACAGTTTCCAGTCAGTGGAACCATTTTTAAAGGTTCCATCCTGAAACGTATTGACTTTAAGAAGATGCACATATTGGCAATCTGACTTCTAGAAAAACCCTTCAAGAGTTGCACCTCCAAGTACCTAGAGCAGCCGTGGGCAAACTACGGCCCGGCCCGTTTGAAATGAATAAAACTAAAAAAAAAAAAAGACCGTACTCTTTTATGTAATGATGTTTACTTTGAATTTATATTAGTTCACACAAACACTCCATCCATGCTTTTGTTCCGGCCCTCCGGTCCAGTTTAAGAACCCATTGTGGCCCTCGAGTCAAAAAGTTTGCCCACCCCTGACCTAGAGGCATCTCCAGAAGGCCAGTCTAAGAAATTCAGCAATGGGCTCCAAAGCCTCCAGGAATCTCATCCAGTACCTACAGGAGCTCTTGTGAACCCAGAGACTACTCTGCGAGAACAGGATAGTGTTGGGGTCGGGGGAGCTAGGGGGTTGCATAATGATGTGACATTTCTCGGTTAAAGCCATCACTCTGGCCGGTGATCTAACTGTGGCAGGGAGCAGGAGGCACAGGGATGTGCACAAAGACCACTGGCTGGACCCCAGAGACCTGGTCTGGTTGAGTCTCATTTAACCACCACTCATACATGGCTTTGGGGTAGATACTGTGAATTTCTAAATGAGTCTCGTAGGCCTTGGTTTCCTCATCTGTGAACAGAGAGGCTTGGATCAGATGGCCCAAGACCGCCTTAGGCCCTCACATGGATCTTTCTGATGATCTCTGCAGAAGTTAATGAAGGCATGCATTTTCCCTTTTCAAGAGGAGGGAAATGTTTAAATCACCATGGTAACAAGATAACCCAGCAATCAGTTTTCTGATTAAAATAAAAAAGTGCCACTGCGGGAACGTGGAAGGAATGCATAATCAGCATGGCCACCGTTTAAACCTTCTAGTCAGAGCGCAATAAAAATGCTCAATGCTTCTACAGGAAGCTTGTTATTGCCCACGGGAGAAGGACTTCTCCCCTCCCACTGCGGGTCTGCAATCACCGGACAAGCCCCCCACAGCCCGCCATCATTTCCAAGTGGCCTCTTGTTCTGTGCTCACCTGGAATGCGTGCTAATTTGATTACTGGACTAGAATCAAGGTAACCAGGAAAATACATGTGTTGTTTTAAAAATTACACATCATATTCCAGAGCCAAATAGAAGTGATTTTTGGGTTACTTGCCACTCGGGGGACCATTTTCCGTACATTAGTGAGAAAAATCAAGAGCTGGCCCCGAGCCCCATGGGCAGACGATGAGGCTCACTGCCTGTGTTTGTATGGCTCACCACCTAAGAATGGCTCCTACCTTTTTAAATGATTGAACAAAAATTAAAAAAGTTATATTTCATGACATATGAAAACCACATGAGATTCATATTTTTAAAAAATATATATTTTTATTGATTTCAGAGAGGAAGGGAGAGGGAGAAATAAAAACATCAGTCATGAGAGAGAATCATTGATCAACTGCCTCCTGCATGCCCCCTACTGGGGATCTAGCCTGCAGCCCGGCACGTGACCGGGACTGAACCCAGGACCCTTTAGTCTGCAGGCTAATGCTCTATCCACTGAGACAAACCAGCCAGGGCAAGATTAAAATTTTCATGTCCGTAGTAAAGTATGATTGACAATCAGCCACACCGTTCATTTTCATGGATTGTCAATGGCTGCTTTCACACAATAAGGAAAGTTGAGTCATGCCCTGGCTAGTGTGTGCAGTGGTTAGAGTGTTGGCCTGTGCACCAAAGGATTGTGGGCTCAATTCCAGGTTAAGGGCACATATCTGGGTTGCAGGTGCAGGGAGGCAACCAATCAAGAGGCACATTGAGGTTTTTCTCTCTCCTCTCTCTCCCCCTCACTCCCTCCCACCCTCCCTCCCTCTCTAAAAATCAATGGAGAAAATATCCTCGGCCTGGCTCAGGTTGAGCGTTGACTTATGAACCAGGGAACCAGGAGGTCACAGTTCAATACCTGATCAGGGCACACGCCTGGTTGTAGGCTTGGTCCCCAGTAGGGAGTGTGCAGGAGGCAGCCAATCAATGATTTTCTCTCACCATTGATGTTTCTCTCTCCCTCTCTCTTCCTCTCTGAAATCAATAGAAACATATATTAAAAAAAAATTTAAAAAAATCCTTGGGTGAGTTTTAACAAAAAAATAATATAAGGAAAGTTGAGTCATGACAGAGATGGCCCTCAAAGCCCCAAATGTTTATTATCTGGCCCTTTACAGAAAAAGCTTGCCAAACCCCGTTGTGGACCATTGTAGGGAAAACATCTGCTTGCCAGCTGACCAGACAGGAGTGTACGGAAAAGGAGAACATGGAGTATACTGGGTGTACCCTGAGACTGCAGAATGTTTGCCAAGATGGGGTAGAAGGGTGCCTGAGGAGGAAGCCCTGGAAATCTCAGCTATGAATAAGATCTAGCCTACTTCCTTTGGGCCTCTCAGTAGAGCAGGGCCCAGCACAAACGTGACCCGTGTCATTGGAACCTTTCTTGCGAGTGGAGATACTGGGAGGGCGTGAGGGTAATGAGGTAGGAGAAAGGTGAAACCTCATCAGTACGTCGCTCTGACTTGCAGGCCACTGCTTCTTTCATGGGCACCACATTTTGTGTCGTTTTACTGTAATGTTAGTGGCAACCTCATTAATTAGAAATGTGGAGGACAGGAAAAGAGTGGGAAAAGGTTTAATTAATCTTGTTTGTATTATCTTCCTCCTACACTGGCTAACCACTCAAGCAGAAAGGATGAGTTGGCTTAAATTAGGAATGTTTTGAGTAGGCTGACATTGGTTTAAAAGGCTACCCAGTCACGCCGAGGAGCAGGTAGTTCTGCAAACCTCGCTCTGTACTGTGTATTCCATCCTATATAATAAAAGGCTAATATGCAAATCGACCGAACAGTGGAACGGTCGGTCGCTAAGACACGCACTGACCACCAGGGGCAGATGCTCTATGCAGGAGCTGCCCCCTGGTGGTTAGTGTGCTCC